CCGGCCCGCGGGAGGCGATAACAGCTGAGACAGCAGCGGGGGAAAATCAGTCTCTAGGAAGCTCAGTCGTGGCTGAAGCAAGGCACGTGCGCTTCATTCTCAAGTTCGAGCTGCTCTGGAATGGGATTTTGAGGGTCAGAATAGCTCCTCTTTCGTTGTTTTGAATACACATGTTCTATTACTATTGCAACAACACATCATCAGTAGGGTAAAACTAACCTGTCTCACGACAGTCTAAACCCAGCTCACGTTCCCTATTAGTTCTGGTTTTGCTTTCCACTTTTGATACTTGTTTTGCCCATGTGGATTTGTCTCCAGAGCCAGCAGAAGCCCACAGTTCCCTGATTATCTGTTTTTATCCTTGCAGATAAACTCTTATAGACTCTAGAGTTTGGAATTGTCAAATTGTCAAATAAGAACCTCAGTAAGAGGGGTTTACTGTATCATAGAATCAACTGGGTGGGAAGAGACCTCAGAGATCATCGAGTCCGACACCTGGTTCTTTCTCAGCTGCTGTTTTGTGCAGCTAAACTAAACTGACCTAGAAAATGCTTTGAATTTCAGCTGCATCGTTGAATGAACCTAAGAAATAGTTTGAACCCCATAGTAATCCCAGAAGCTGCTCTTGGAACAATAAAATTAGTAGTGCAGCAGTTATGTGTCCATTGAGGAGTGGTTTGGTTTTGTGTTTTTTTCTGGGAAGGCTTGTTCCTGATTGTTTCAAATGTTCATTGGACAAGAATTGAAGTGCAAGAAAGTAAATCACTTCCCAACACTAAAGAAGTTGAAGTTTGGCCTTACTAGTGACTGCACTCTCTGGGTATGGTATTCCCTGCTCATTGCTCTTTGCTGAGGCTGGGAAGAGACTTCCTTGAGAAATTGTCTAGTTGTGGTGTCTTTCCCCCTTGGAATGAAAGTAGGTTGAGTTGGGCTTTTTGCCTTCAAATTCACTGAGCTGTCTTTAAGATAATTTCTGGGTTTCTTCCCTTTTATTCCTTTGGATTTATTCAAGTGCAGGCTTTCCATGCAAAATGAGCTGAGCAATGGTGCAAAGGAAATCTGGCTTTAATTTAAAGGAGTAATTTAATAGCAGAGTTTTTGTAGAGTATGCACATACACGCAGCAGAGTCCATGAAAATAGAAGTTGGAACTTAACTTTAAGGACAGAAACAAAATATTGAGACTGTTAAAACTTTAAATTTCTGAGTGAATGATTGCTCTCAACATATATACAGATCTTTTATCACTCATGGTGCTAAAACACCCTGAACTTGCAAAAAATAGATCCTTGATCCTTGTTTTCTTTTACATTTTTCCTTTCAGGTACCTTATCAACTTCTTGCTAGATGCCACATTGGGAATGCTGCTAATCTACATCGGGGTGCGTGCAGTCAGCAGCATCGTGGAGTGGCAGCAGTGGGAGTCCCTGCGCTTCGGTGAATATGGTCAGTGTGTCTGTTCTTGTGCTGAACTGGTGTTCAGGACAGAATCTCAGAATATTTCATCAAGTGATTAACTCATCCTAAAATCCTTTTACAATCATTTTAATATTTCACTTGTAATGAAGGTTCTTTTGAGTTCTATATCTCAGTATGCACGTTGTGTCTTAGAAAGCACAATGAGTCTCTAAGCACTTAGTGAGTTTGGAACAACTGCTTGAGTCTATTTTTTTAGGAGTGATTGAACAAATTATCATATTGGCTAATCTCATAGGAAAAATATCAGCATGATCAATTTACTCTGAAACTCTTCTCAGTAAATGATAGCTGGAAGGTCATTTCCTCTTGAAGCTTTCACTGAATTGTCTGAAGATACAGACAAATAGTTCTGCCAGCTCTCTCTGAAGTGAACAGCCACATAATTTCAGTGAAGAGAGTGGCACAATGGCCTGTGCTTGTCCTCAAGTGAGGAGCACTCAGACTTTTGCACATAGGGCCTGTATCATTGGTGAAAAATGCTTATGTGTTTGGTAAAGGCTGAGGGATAGGCTGGTGAAATCACTGTAATGTGAAGCTGTGGGGTTTATCTTCCATTATATTAGCCACAGAAGTCCACTGATCTGCAGAGGTTGTGGATTTGGAGCTGCAGTTAAGTATCACACGTTGAATTCTGTTCAGCCTGTTAGTTTCAGATTGCTTTGTCTGACTGGTTGGAAATGGAAGTTCTGTGTAGGTGCTAAAAGTCACATTTGAAGCTTCTCAAGATAGGAATGGGAGGAGACATTGCCTTGTAAGTGAGCTATGGCAATGGTTTGAGAAAAAAAAAGTTATAAATGGTGAAAAATGTTTGCCTAAGATGTTATAAACTTTCAAAGCAGATTCATAATTATTATCAATAGGTTTTAGGGTTTTGTAGGTTTCTTTGGTTTTAATGGTCCTAAGTGACTGACAGAATTAAGAATAAATCAATAAAGGCCTTGTGAAATTGGAGAACTTGAAATGCTTGGGAAGTAAATATAGCATTAATTGCTATTTGCTTGAATGTCAGAGGTTTAAAATGGAGATGATGACAAGCACATATCTAAGGAGAAATAACTGCCTATACTATTAGGGCATTTGTGGCTAGATTTATGTAGATTTAATACATCTCTTAAACAATCACAAATTCTACCCTAAAAGCTGTTTAAATCGCTACTGCCACAAACCTACTTATCTGCTTTTTTTTTTCCCCACAAGCCATGGTCCAATATCAGCAGTCTTTTCCTTAGACTGGTGCATATCTGACTCCTCAGGGAACTGACTGAGAGAGCTAAACCATCAGAAAATTCACTGTATGTAATAAAGTAAATAGTTCCTCCAGATCAGCCCCCAGACCTGGGTCTCTAAGGAGTTAGGTAAGCACCAATGCCTGGGAAGGGATGAAGGGCAAGGAAAAAGCTGAGACACTGCTGAGTTCTACCTTCTGGCTGAGCTTGAAGACCAAAGCTGCTTTTTCTGATTGTTGATTTGGCTTGAAGCCATCTAAAGATGTTTGAGCAACTTTCAGCCCATATGACACTGACTCACCATTCAGAGCAAAAAACGTGGCATATCTATTACAGTTATAGGTCAGTACTTGTAATGATGTCAGATACTAGATTTTATTTCTTCTTCATTACATTCTGATTTTTCTTGGCTAATCTGTTGTCCTCTCCCAGTTTAATGTCCTTTTAACAGTAAGCAGTCTGTATGGATGGGGAGATGGGGACAGCATATTCACTCTCCTGAAATTTCTCTCTCTTTTAGTGACTTCCAAAATTAATCTGGTTTTATTTTAGTTAGTTATGAGGCACCTCTGACTGCAGTAACTAAGCTCTTAAAATCAACAAATACCTTGTGCTCCGCTGTGGAGGATATCTGTGACTGATCCATTATTGTCACCTGCATTGGGAGATCTAAAATGCCTAAGCTTATTGATTGAGTATTTCTCTTCTGTGTATAACCAATGTATGAAATTATGCAAATCCTCTTTACTTACTTGTTCGTTCTAATATCAGATCATTTTATTAGTCACTAACTCTCTGTGTCTTCATTAATGTGCTGTCCTGACCTTAGAGTGTTGGGTTTTTAATCAAGCTATCATAGGGACGATTAAAAAAGCACATTATAAATCTCTGTTTCCATTAATCATGTGGGAGAGGCTTCTGGTATAAAGATAACTGGACAGCAGATGGAGAGTTATTACTAATGGCTGTGCAGTGAGGTTGGACCTTATGTAAGAAATCCATCGGAAAAGGACAAGTTGCATTGGGTCATTTGCTTCTGGTAGTGTTCCTGTTGTTTCTGAAGTGAAAACCTTCATATCAGCATTTTAGTCAAAATTTTGCTTTGACCCCAAGAAAAGTCTTGTCTTATTCCTCAAAAGATTATTATTTAATATCAATTAAATCATGTAGGGTAAAAGAGGGGACTAAAATGCAGTCCTATGGGGTTGCAAATGTGTTCAGACTTTGTATTTTGAAGTTAAATATGGATGTTTAGTATAGAATCATAGAGTGATTTGGGTTGGAAGGGACCTTACAGACCATCTTGTTCCACCCCCTGCCATGGGCAGGGACACCTTTCACTAACCCAGGTTTCTCCAAGCCCCGTCCAGCCTGGCCGGGAACACTTCCAGGGATGGAGCAGCCACAGCTTCTCTGGGCAACCTGTGCCAGTGCCTCAGCAGCCTCACAGGGAAGAATTTTTTCCTGAAATACAATCTAGCCCTGCCCTCCAGCAGTTTGAAGCCATTCCCATGTCCTGTCACTCCATGCTGTTGTGGGTTAACCCCAGCCAGCAGTCAAGACCCACTCAGCCACTCACACACTCCCCCACCAATGGGATGGGGGGAGAGAATCACAAGGGTAAAAGCTAGAAAAGCTCATGGGTTGAGATAAAGACAGTTTAATAGAGAAAGCAAAAGCTGCACACACAAGCAAAGCAAAACAAGGAATTAATTCACTGCTTCCCACAGACAGGAGGTGTTCAGCATCTCCAGGAGAGCAGGGCACATCACGCGTAACGGTTCCTTGGGAAGACAAACACCATCACTCCAGATGTCCTTCCTTCCTCCTTCTTCCTCCCACCTTATATACTGAGCATGATGTCCTATAGTATGGAATATCCCTTTGGTCAGGTTGGGTCCCCTGTCCCAGCTGTGTCTCCTCCCAGTCTCCCATGCACCCCCAACTTCCTTGCCAGTGTGGCAGTACAGAACACAGTAAAGACCTTGGCTCTGTGTAAGCTCTGCTCAGCAATAATAAAAAATTATTTCTGCATTATCAACCCTGTGTTCAGCACGAAACCAGAACATAGCCCATACTAGCCCCTGTGAAGAAAGTTAACTCTACTTCAGCCCAAACCAGCACACATGCTCTTGTCCAAAGCCCTTCTCCAGCTCTCTTGGAGTCCCTTCATGTACTGGAAGGCCACAATAAGGTCACCCTGGAGCTTTCTCTTCTCCAGGTTTCTCTTCTCTTCACCACCACATGGTGACTGGGTGTCTGCTGCTGGAGGGGTGTCAGAGTCTTGGGCACTTTATCTGAAGTAGTAAAGTCAGGTCCTCAGTTTGGACATCAGCGTGATTTCAGTTTGTTTGCTGTAGGGCAACAAACAAGAGCAGCCCCCAGACAAGTCTCTGCTTGTGACTGAGTGATGTTTGTGTTTCTAGAGCCTAAATAATCGTTTGTCTCAAGTTAGTTCTCACTGTGAGCTCATTTCCCTTCTTAGCTCTATTACTTGATCCCTGGTGATTCATTACTTGAAGCTGTCACAAAAATAGCAGTGTCCTGCTGGTTTTAAAAGCCTCTTCTTTATATGGAGGATAGTTTTTAAGTATAAATGCCTCAAGGAAGGAATGGATACCAAAGTATCAGCATTTATAAATGGTTGCTGTTTGCACAGCAAAACAGCACTGCACACTGACGTATGAAAAAAGCAGCATGGCACTGCCTCGAGGGCTTTGGTACAGCAGAATTTTTAGTTTTATTAGGTTTGTCTTCATATTTCCAGTTTTGTGTTTTCAGTTTCATTACATCAGCAGTTGGATCTTAATAGAAGTGCAGAATGAGTTAATACATTTGAGTATGTAAAGAGGAAAAAAGCACTCATGATCTGTACTGAAAAGAATGTTCCCCCTGTTCTCCTTCCCATCTTGTCTTGGGCTACCTTCACTACTGCAAGTAGAAAACAGGTGATGAATCTGTCTTGGTGACTATAAACACTATTGGCAACTAAACTGTGCTTTGGTCTTTTCACTTGTCTTTGCCTCTCACATGGCAAAGCTGATAAACTCTATTTGATGCATCTTTTCCCTCCAGCTCTTTGCCACTTGCAGAGCAATTTACTTAGAGCCATATGGGGTACAGAGCACTGACTTTAAAGCTGTTTAAAAGTTATTTTGGAGTAGTTCTCTGAGTTGGCATTTTCTCAAGAGAATTTTTTCAGGAACTGAAGAACAGAGAGAAGTTACAGGACAGAGGAATTACAGGTGTTTTGTTCAAGAGCTGTCTGTACCAAGTAGCCAATGCCAGTAGCTGACACCAGCACAGACTGGTTTTGCATTTCCCAGCATTTTCAAAAAATGCTGCTACAATTGTCACTGCTGAGGATTCAGAATTTTTCAGTTTCAGTCTTAATGTGCTTTTCTGGCAGTGGCAAGATGTCTACTGACTTGCTGGATTATTCTATGCTGCAACTTACACATGACAGGTATAAAATCAGAATTCCAGAGAGACTGTGAGTGACTAGAATTAGAGCTTTATCACTTTAAAGTTCTAATTTGAGTTTGTGTACTGAAAATACAAATGTCCCAAATATTCCTTCTTGGGAGCACCTCCTGGGTCTGGTGATGTTGTTTACTTGAATTGCATGGCTTATAAAATCATGGAAAAAATTTGGTTGGAAAGGATCTCCAGAGGTCATACAATCCAACCTCCTGCTCAGAGCAGAGTTCACTTCAAGGCTGAAGTGGGTTGTTCAGGGCGTGGACCAGTCCAGTGTTTAATTTATCCATGGTTTGAGATTTGAGAATCCCTTTGAATAACTTACTCCAGTGCTTAACCACTCATTGTGAAAGCTTTTTTCCTTTATGTCAGCATTGTCTCCACCCATGCAGTCTGCATCTTCCCAGCTTTTCTGCAAGAATACTATCGGGGGGATGTCAAAAGACTTGGGAAATACAAAGTAGACAGCATCCCCTGTTCTCCTCACTTGTAACAGAGCTGAGAGAGAACTTTGTAGATGTAGTAGGACACACAAAAATCCTCAAGTAGAATGTAATATACACAGCTTCTGATTTCAGTCATGTACCAAAGAAAGCAGCTCCCCTTTCCACAAAAACATCATGGAACAAAACCTTCATTGGAAATATTGCACAACATTCCTAATACTAAGATTCACAATTTTGGGATGTGCAAAATCTCCTGAGAGCTGGAACAGATGGGAAATTGCTATAGCTGTCTTCACATTCAGGACTTAAATACAGATTGGAAAGCAGTTCAGAATAAACTGGTAGTTTCAATGGTAAGGCTGTAGCTAGAGTTAGATTTTTTTTTCAATATTTGCTAGTTGGTGAAGAAAACTAAAGAATGCTAATAAAAATGTAGACTGTAGAAATTAATTGTTGAAATTTAATTCTCAAATCTAATTCAGACCTTGTATCTTCAGAACAATAACAGTTGCTTTGAACTTCTGGTGTTTCCCTTTCACATTTTCTAACCTTTTGCTTTCCCCAAGAGAAACCATAAACTGCAGTGTGTAGCTGTAAGACTTGAACATTTTAACCATTTTTTTCTCTTGGACTGCTGAGTGTGTTGATCACTAGCTCATACTGGTTTTAGGGTTAGGAAGTTTTCTTTGGTTTGGACTCTGATTTATCAGTTTCTCTGTGAGGCACTTAGGCAGCAAACAGTAACTCTCAGACTATTACCAAGTATTAATACTGAAAGCCTTTCAGAAATGTTCCAGAAAAGGAAGTAGCAACTGTCCATTATGCATTACAAACACATAAAGGCATCTGATTTTCCATTGCCCATTATTCATCCCCAGGCTAGAAGTTTTGAGCTGCCTTTGAAGATGTTGCAGAGGCTACTGCAAAGACTAAAGCACTGTCACCCTCCTCCAGAGCTTCCTTTTCGTTTCTTGGGAAATGCTACTTCAAGCTCACCTGCAAAGCTTGTTAGGCTTTAACAGCCCTCTTATTGGCCCCCTCTTTTTTTTTTTTTAATTCTCTGTCTTCTTTCATAGTCTAATAGTCTACATCAGTTTTTCTGTTCAAATATTTGTGGTCTTCATTCTGTCCTGGCAGATAACTTTGTGCACTTGGTTCTCACTCTGCCACAACAAGGTGCAGCAGAATTTCAAACCCTTTTAGACTGAAATTAAAATGTGATCTTAATTTTTTGTTCAATTAAATTTTTCATAGCAGCTCTTGCACCTGTTGCTTCAACTGGGATTAGTTACTTATGGTAACTAACTTTGTAGAGAGGAGAAATACTTTTGAGGTAGCCCAGGGAGAGTGGCAGAAATCATAGTTCTGCTTAGACTGAAGGGAAATGTGTTTTCCTTGAGCTGTGTTTCCCTTAAGTTTTCCTTTTTAAGACACTTAATACTTCGTGATAGAGAGTCAAAATTGACAATGTAATAAGAAACAAAAGCAATGCAACTCTATTTGTTTTGCTTTCATCAGATTATATAAAACAGTGAGTGTATAACAGGTATTACTGAATCGGATTAAAACTGAATCGTGTTAGATTCAGTTTCTAGCTGATACTTTCTGAAACTTGGGGTGAGGCTGAGGGAGGGAAGGAGCAGCACTAAGGGAATTTGGAGCAGGCACTAAAAAGGATATAATTGCTGTGCTGCCTCTAATAATACTGCTTTTCCAAGATGTTTACTGTGAAGTAAAATCAAATCAATGCATACTTTGAACCTTTCTCCTTTCTTGCAGGTGACCCCCTGCAGTGCAGTGCTTGGGTGGGCCAGTGTGCTCTGTACATAATGATTATGACATTTGAGAAAACCATCATCATCATAGTGCTGCTTATACCTCAGTGGAAAGAGGTTTGTGTTTTTACAGCATTTTACAGACAAATGAGTTTCAGGTGGAGGCTGTAAAGACTTCCAGTAGTGTTTATTGGTTTGGCTCAAGCACCAGAGCAGTCTACAGTTATTGCAGATTATCTCTGTGGTAGTGGTATGTTCTTTTAGTTTAATTAGGATATTGCTAATGAGGCTTTCTGGCATCCACTGCTAGGAATATCCTATCATATCTTGAAGGTTTTTTATATACTGTGATATAAAAACTGTTATTCTGTCTCTCTCTGAAGTGCTCTTGAAGCTACTAAGAGGCTTTTCCTTTGCTTACTTCTTTAACTCTTGCTTACAGCTATTTTGTATTCTTGTAGTACTTTAAAGGATTTTCTTTGCCTGACCTTGTTGATAGATCTTACCTGTAGACTTTCAGACATTTGCAGTGGATTAGTGAAGCTGTTGCTGATGACTGTATAAATATTTATTTTGCTAGAATCTGTGCAACTTAATACTCAAAGCTGTGACATTATAGCCCATTAAAACCAGTTAGCCTTATTGTGTGCTCTGGGCTCCTTTGGGAACTGTCTTTTCCTTACCATGTAGTTTGTAAAACTCTGCTCTGTTTAAATTTCCTAAAGATGGAAACTGAGACACGTTCCCTGGGAGCTCACAACTCTAAAATGTTCAAGATTATTCTAACTCAGCTCCTCAGACTTCTGTAAGCAATAATGACAGAGATGAGTTTCTCTTCAGCCCTGCTTATCTGTGGTAATTTATAAGCTGTCCTAAGTGCTTTCCTTTCCCCAAAGCTGTCCTTTTTTGGTTCATTGCATTATTTCTGTCGCATTAGCTAGTACATGAACACTGCACTGACTAACTCAGTGATGTGCACATGCTGCCATGATCTGAACTTAATCCTTTTCTCTTCACAGGTAGCTTTATTGAATCCCATAGAGAACCCCCAGCTGGAGCTGGCTATCGTCATGCTGATAGTTCCCTTCTTTGTTAATGTTAGTACAACTTCTGTGAGACTTTTCTTGGATATCTTTCTGCCTTGTGTTCATTAATTAACCTTAGTCCTTAAAACACAGTGCACCTTGGTGCTGAAGTTAATTTTTTAAGAGAAAGGGTGTTAAAGAATGGCTGAAATGCCTGGATATGTAGATTTTACAGAGCTGAAGTCCATACTGAGCCAAGGAACCAGGCTCAGGAGAGGTGCAGAAAATGCCTCATAGACCTCTTTGGCCTGGTGACTTCAGTGGATTGGATGTGATACTGAAATATTGACACAGAGATTATAAAAGTACTGTGAAATTTGTTTCAGGAAGCAGTTGGTCTAAGGACAGATGTACCGTGAAGTATCCTGTGTCTGAGCATAGCTAATAGTGCCTGGCCTTTGGTGGAGCAGAGGAAAAGGGCAAGTGTGCAGTCTTTCTTCCCAAAGTATACTCTCAGCAATCTGGGATTCAGAGCCAGAGATGGTGGGAGTCCTTGCATTTCATAACTGCTGGTAAAGCATTGCTACATGAAGAGTTAATATATAATCATTGTGAATAGTTGCTACTTTCCTTATTTTCTTCTCTGCCACAAAGGAATGGAGTAGGTGGGCAGCATT